AGCAAAGAGTAGCTTTAGTTAGGTGAATTAAAAAAAATAAATCCAACAAAAATGAGTTACATTAAAACTAGCATTCTATTACTAGAGGAAATCTCTTATAAGTAAAACAAGATAGTCTACTTATTTTCACTGTGGCAAAATGTATTAACAAAATTTACCCTTTTAGCCATTTTTAATGTACAGTAGCATTTTGTTCTGTGGCATTAATTGCATTGATATTGTTCTGCAACTATAACCATCATATGTGTCCAGAATTTTTCAACATTACACAATGGCACTCTGGACTCCATAGTTCATCAGCACCCCTCCTCCCCACCAGCCCATGGAACCGCTGGCTGTCTGCTTTCTGTTTCCTTATATTTGACTATGTTAGGTTCTCATATAAATGGGTGTCTTCTGTTTTTTGAAATAACAGCTGTTCTTTCTTTAAGCATATTTATTCTAAATTATGGTCATGTAATACGGAGGTTTTTAAAAAAAGAATAATTAATGTTGGAATTCATATTGATATGCATAGGCAAAAGGCAGTGAACTAAAAGTAAAGATTATTACTCAAGCTTATCTGAAAGAGGTGATTACTACAAAGACTTCTCTTTCCTTTTTAAAGTGAACTCTGTATAGAAGTGTATACCAGAGAATATAAATTAAGACATGTGTGCATAAGAATATTGTCCATAAAGATCATAAATAATGGTGCCACTGTCTTTATGTATATCAAGAATTCTCCTTGGTAGAAAAGATTCTTGGATTCCAATATTGAACATCTTGTTTGCCATTTGGCATGGGGTTAAGGGCCTGGTCCTCCTATGTCCCTTTTTATCTTCATCTGTAAAATGCAGATACTAGAAGCTTCCATCCCTACATCAGAGGGTTAATGTGAAGATCAAACAAGAAAATCAAAGAGAAAGATCTTTGAGAAATACAAAGCCTTGTAGAAATGCAGGCATTATTAAAAAGTGTGGAGAGATTGTTAACACAGTTGTTTTCAAAGCCAAGGTTTTATAGTTTCAAAAGTTAGGAAAGCTATTCAGTATTTGAAAATTATTTAGAAAACCAAATTCTTGCTTTGGTAACCCAACACCACAACTGAATTGTGTTTTAAGTAGTGTACATTTGATATGCACTGCTATAAGTCATCTAACCACATTACCACACTAGAGGTAATTGTACAACATTTCAGCAAGATCCACAATTTTGGTGGGTAAGAAGTTATGAATTGACATAGTTTAAAAACAAAGTAATGTCTTCAAAAGGAAGATTAAAGGAAAAAACTTTTCCATAGTGGTAAAAGTGCTGCTTTCTGTAACATGTCCACTATGAGAGGCCTGCCAGGTCAATTTAACAAAAATTTATTGAGTGTCTTTGGCATACAAATCATCTGGGGTAGAGAGACTGGATTGGAAGAAGGATGGAAATGGTGGGAAGTCTTATGAAGGGAAATACAAAGAGTTCCCTGAATTGGGTGACCTTTAAAAATAGTAATGGGCTTGGAGTGTTCTATGACAACCTACTACAAAGGTCCAATGAAATCAATATCAAGAAAAGGACTGAGAAAAACGTCATGGAATTGGAGAACTGGGGAAAGTTACTTAATTTTGACTTAAGAAGGCAGAATCCGGTGATAATTGTCCAGGGTCTTGATACAGAAGAAGGCTTGCATGGGTCACAAAGAGGAGAGGGTATTTTAAGTTTGGGGGAACCACACTTAGCCCATTTTACAAATAAATATTTAGCAACCTATTAAATGATAGAACTAAGTAAACTGGCAGTGTGCCTGTGACTCTACAAAGTCATGACTATGTTAAGTTAAATTTCAGATCCTCACTCTAAAGCACTGGTCTCACAGCCCCAATGTTTCAGGGGACAGCTCAGACAGCATTCGTATACGATCCCACAAGTGATACTCCATTTTATTTCAGTTTCATGAATTTGTCATAATTTTATCTTTGTTCAGACAGGAGTTCCAAATTCAAATAACCCAAATCCAACTAGAGAACACTTCAAGTCCACCTCCACTTGCAGTTTTCTGAATTTGCTTTTCTTGTCTGTTTTCATAGGTCCAGCACCAACCACCCCACTCAGGTTTAGTTTGTTTTCTGCATTTGCATATTTTTTCCCCAAGACTTTACAGTAAGATTACTCTTTCTGCCCCCAAAACTAAAAAACTTACCTTTTAATCATTATCATATACTATTAACTGACATTTATTAAGATCTTAATTTAATAAAATCTTACTTTATTAAGTAAGATCTTAATACACTTAGCAATGTGCTAAGCATTATTTCCTTCATACAGGACAGGTAATATTATCATTTTAATTTTTTAGAAGAGAAATAAAGATCTAAAGAGGCCAAGTACATTTTAACCTTCACAGTAACTGACACAAGCTATGCAACCTTTGTCGTCAGACACGGTCCGGATGGAGGGGAATTGCTCTGAAAAATCAGACTTTCCATGCTCTCTTATGTTATGACCTCCCTTTTTTGTATATTCATAATATCAAAATATTCTGAGCAACTTTCAGCTTACAATTGGACTGCCTAGGCCGCACAAGGCCTGCCTGCCTTGACAAGCAAGCACTGCACCAGGGTGAAAAAATTCCCCTGAAGTCAAGTGACTTGACTACTGTCTGATTAAAAGCAAAAGGGCTGTTTTTGCAAAGTCTCTCTCACTGTCAGATGGAGGGTAACCCAAATCTTATCATTCTATTATCTCACCTAGCCTTCTATTCAGCTTTTTAAGAATTACTCAAACTTCCTATTGTTTGGCCTTGAGATGTGGAAACTAATCCAGGTTGCCTGTTTTTAAACTAATCAAGTTTTCCACCTGTTACATCTTAAAGGAATCCACAAAAGTCTTCTGGCTAGTTTTTCAGGATTCTACTATGTAGTCTTTAGATAAAGAAATCCACCTATGACTCCTATTCAGAGATTTGATTAGCAAGGAATTTCCTCTTCTGTCTCCCAGGATGATTCAGGCAGAAAAACAAAACCCATTAAGTAATAGATAAGGTTTAAGGGACTTCTATCTTAGTTGATCTCCACTATAGTAATATTAGTCATAGACTTTGTGCACTTATGTACCTGTTTTTAACCTTAATTGATTTTGGAATGTTATATCTCAGCTAAAGGGCAATACGACCCTAAACTGTTCTTAGAAAAAAAGATGATTGTAATCTCTCAGCCCAGTTCGTGTGCTGATGTCATCCCACTGCTTCTCCTAATGTATAAAATAAACCTCTGCTGAAGGCAGAGCAGGAAGACTTGCACCCAACTCTGACTCCCGTGTCTTCCTCGCTCCCCTTTCCCCTTTTTCTCCCTTTCCCCCCCTTTTTTTTTAGGAATCTCCACTCACCCACGCCTTCCCACCTTAGGGTCCTGCCTGTCTTGCCTCCAGACACCTCAATAGTTGGAGCTGGTCTCCAACAAGTAACTATAGAAAATATTGTTATTATTGTCTCTTTAATAGATGAGAGAAGTAACTGGCCCAAGGTCCAGTTGGAGAGTGGCAGGCTAGTATTTGAACCTTTAGTCATTTGACAGCAGAGCTCGAGCTTTTACCCTCTGAGCCATACAACCTCTTGGATAAACCAAGATCCACAATAAGATCCTGTTCCAAAATTTCTCCCTCTCTTGCCTATCCTGAACGTACAGTGAGATATCTTAAAACCTCAGCAGTTCAGCAATGTTGTTTATTTTCTGGGAGTTGTGACACAAGGAGTTGAGAGTATTGATTATTGAAGCCTGGGGAAAAATACTCTTGGTGGGATTGTAAATTGGTGCAATGTCTATGGAAAGCTGTATGGTGATTCCTTTAAAAACT